ACACACACACACACACACACACACACACACACACACACACACACACCAATGGGCTTTCTTGGTTTGGAGCTATGGTCCTCAGATCTTGGCCTCCTGAGCAGTAGCTAGGTAGTAAAACCACCAGCACCCAGGATTCCAGGTTTTGTTTTGTTTTTAAGTAGTAATATAATAAAAAAATGTGGCAAGTCTTAAACAATAATTATTAAGTAGTAATATAATAAAAAATGTGGCAAGTCTTAAACACCTAGGGTAGGTTCATTTGTTATTTCTTTTCCTTAAGGATACATAGTTGTAAACTATGGCTTGTTAATTGAAGGTAAGAGTCGCACAGACTTGGCTGCCCCTACTGGCTTCAAACTTTGTTCTTCCCAGTCTCATCCTCCTGAGTAGCTAGGATTACAGGGGTGATCTATCAGTGTCCAGCTTTGTCAGTGTTTAATTTAGACATATTCTTAGAAGTAAAATCATGTGCTGGGTGCTGGTGGCTCACACCTGTAATACTAGCTAATCAGGAGGATGAGACCTGAGGATTACAGTTCTAAGCCAATCAAGGACAGGTTGGGAGCAAACCAAGGGCAGGAAAGTCCAGGAAACAGCTGGAAGTTGTGCTGTGGCTCAAGTGGAAGAGCGCTAGCCTTGAGCACAGAGACACTCAGGGACAGTTCCCAGGCCAAGTTCAAGCCCCAGGACCAGGAAAAAATAAAATAAAATCATGGATCATTTGGCATGTATATTTAAAATGCTGAAAGATGAAACTCAAGATTTTAGCACTTATGGGTGGAATTAAGCAGATGTACAAGGAGAAATATTTGATTCTGCTTACTTGAGGTAGTCAAATTTATAGAGACAAATGATGGCTAGGAGCTGGGGTGAGGGAAGAATGGGAAGTTAATGGCTGATGAGTATAGAGTTGGGATGATAAAAATTCTGTAATTGGGGCTGGGAAGGTGGCTCAGTGGTAGAGGGCTTGCCTTGCATGCATGAGGTCCTGGGTTCGATTTCTCAGCCCCACATAAGCAAAAAGAAAAAAGCCAGAAGTGGCGCTGTGGCTCAAGTGGTAGAGTGCTAGCCTTGAGCTGAAGAGCTGAGGGACAGCGCCCAGGCCCAGAGTTCAGGCCCATGACCGGACCCCCCCCCCAAAAAAAAAAAAGTCTCATGGACTTTTCTGCTCGGGCTGGCTTTGAACCGCGATCCTCAGATCTCAGCCTCCTGAGTAGCTAGGATTACAGGCGTGAGCCACCAGCGCCCGGCTGTCCACCAGACTCTTATCTCCAGTAAACCACCAGAAAACCAGAAATGGCACTGTGGCTCAAGTGGTGGAGGGCTTGCCTTGAGCTGAAGAGCTCAGGGACAACACCCAGGTCCAGAGTTCAAGCCCCATGACCAACAAAAAAAATAGAGAGAAAATGTAGCAAGGCAGGAAGGAAGGCAAAAGGATAGAATCTTAGGGGTCACCTCCACATTTAGGAAAGGAGAAAAGAAAATAAACCAGACGAGGCTTCAGATAACAGAGGACTAGTACAGACTAAGCAGGATATATAATCATCAAAAATTAAGCAGAGAAGTTGGAGGCATGGTTCAGGTGGTAGAATGCTAGCCAGTGAGCTGAAGTGAATTTGACTCTGACCTCATACAAAAATAAATAAACAAACAAATAAATGAAAATTAAGCAGGGTCTGGTGGCTCATGCTGGTCGCCCCAACTACTTGGAAGGTTGAGATTGGAGGATAGTGATCCAAGGCTGCTCCATGCAGCAGTATTGTGAGACCTGTACCTCAACTGCCTTAGGAAAAAAGACCTTATCTAAAAGTAACTGCTTATCGACAATAATCTTCTGGTTGATGGCAGTAGTCTTCCAATGGTTGACAGTAATCTTCTGGTTGTTGGAATAGTCTTTGGATGGGTGCCAGTAATCTTGTGGTTGAAGACAATAGTCTTGGTTGTAGACAGTAGTTTTCTGGTTGTTGTCAGTTTTCTGGTGTTAGACAGTAGTCTGTTGTCAGTAGCCTTCTAGTTTTAGGCAGGTGAAATCAGTTTTACAATGGGTAGAATAGTGTCTTTTAACAGCCACGTAAGGAAGCACATGCAGCAGCACTTGAGAGGCTAAAGCAGAATGATCATCAGTTAGATGCGAGCCTGGGCTACATTCTTATAAAGATGATGCAAAGATCCTCCACTTGTTACACATTGTTCTTTACATTTGTGGATGTTTGTGTTGAAAAGATGCTTGATAATTACTTTGCTCAGTTAACCCCCTATCTCTTATTGGAACACTTTAAAATCATTAAATATTACCAAATGCAGCATATGTTTTTAACTTTTGCTTCCTCTGTTCTCATTCTGTCAGTGCATTGACAGAAGTACGTGTATAGGATATGAAAAGTTGAATAAAATGAATAGAATCCAGAAACTATTTTAGTTTTTTATGAGAAAAGCATTTCATGATGAAGAACTGATTATACAAAGTAAAATGCATTAAATTAATAAACATATTCCTTTTATTGAAACAGATCTGCAGTGGACGAGTGAACCAGAAAGATGCCCTCCTTAAAACTGAAGCCATGAAATGGTGATTGTTTTAGTCATTTTTAACCCAGGGGAAGGTTTTTACTCCCTTCTTCCCTCTTTCCCTCCCTCTTTCCTTCTCTCCCTCTTTCCCTCCCTCCCTCCCTTCCTTCCTTCCTTCTTTTTTTTTTTGGTCTGGGACTGGGACTCAAACTTGGTATCTGTTGCTTTCATTCATTGGCTGGCACTCTACTACTTGAGCCATACCTCCTACAACCCTCCGTGTGTGTGTGTGTGTGTGTGTGTGTGTTTGTTTTGGCCTGGGGCTTGAACTCAGGGCCTAGACACTATTCCTAAGCTTTATGTTCAAGGCTGGTGTTCTACCACTTGAGCCATAACTCTACTTCTGGCTTTTTGGTGTTTAATTGGAGATAAGACTTTCACAGGCTTTATGAGAAAAGCATTTCATGATGAAGAATTGATTATACAAAGTAAAATGCATTAAATTAATAAACATATTCCTTTTATTGAAACAGATCTGCAGTGGACGAGTGAACCAGAAAGATGCCCTCCTTAAAACTGAAGCCATGAAATGGCTTCAAAGCCATTGGCTTTGAACCATGAATCTCAGATCTCAGCCTTATTGGCATCAGCCACCAGGGCCTCTCCAGATTATGTGTCTTATTTTTAATTGTGGATTTCATTTTTTTTCAACAAAGTAAATAGCAAAATGTAATATAACATAAGAATTATTTCCAAAAATAGGACTTCAAGTTTCTATTGTCTTGGAGCATATATTTGTATAATTCAGTGGTGCTGGGGATTGAACCCTGTTTAGTTACCTTGGGCCTACTAAACAGGCGCTCACCCACCAAATTCCATCTCTAGTTCTTCCAAATAAGGTATCCTCCTTTCTTATATATTGTGATTTTTCAATTTGTTTGGGTTTTTGCAATGCTGAGTATTTAACTCAAAGTTTCAAATGTGCTAATAAATAAGCTCATCTTCTACCATTGAGCTACAACCCTAGTCCTTGTTCAGGTTTGGTTTGTTTTTTTGTTTTTTTTTATTGTGAGTAGGTCTTTGTTACCTGGGCTAGCCTCAAACCTGCTTCTTACCACTCTCTTGAGTGCTGGGATTATAGGTATAAAATACCAAACTTTGCCCTGTGTTAAGGTTTGTTTTTTATGTTTTTCTATTGGTACTAGGATTTGAGCTAAGGGCCTCTTGATATTAATCAGATATTCTACCACTTTTGTTGCTAGTGCTCTACCTCTTGAGCCACAGCTCCACATCTGGCTTTTTAGTGGCTAATTGGAGATAAGAGTCTCATGGACTTTCCTGCCTGGGCTAGCTTCAAATCAGGATCCTCAGATCTCAGCTTTTTGAGTAGCTATGATTACAGGTGTGAACCACTGGTGCCGACTTTTGAATGTTCTTTTATTAAACTATGGTGGTAGTAGATGGTAGAGCTTTGTGTATAGTTGGCTTTTTTTCCCTCCCCACTTTATTTTTTCACTTGTTTAGAAAAATAAAATTCTACTCTGTGTCAGTTCCCTCATCCCATTGCAGTTTACTGTTCAATAAAATTCAGTAGTCTGGGGACCTTTTTTGGGGGGTCAGTCGTGGGCCTTGAACTCTGGGCCTGGCCTTCAGCTCTTCAGCTCAAGGTGAGAGCTCTATCACTTGAACCATAGCTCTACTTTTGGTTTTCTGGTGGTTGGAGATAAGAGTCTCACAGGCTTTCCTGCCCTAGCTGGCTTTGAATTGCCATCCTCAGATCTCAGTCTTCTGAGTAGCTAGGATTATAGGCGTGAACCACTGGCACTCAGTATGTGTTTGCTTGTTTGTTTTGTTTTTGTTTTGCCAGTCCTAGGGCTTGAACTCAAGGCCTGGGCAGTGTCCCTGGGCTTTTTTTGCTCAAGGCTGGCACTCTTAACATTTGAACCACAGCACCATCTCTGGCCCTTTCTGTTTATGTAGTACTGAGGAATCGAACCCAGGGCTTCATGCATGCTAGGCAAGCACTCTACCACTAAGCCACATTTCCCGCCTATGGGGACCATTTTGATAAAGCTTTTCCGTCAGATATTTAGGAATTAAGATTTGAGTTGTCTGTTTTACTTCAAAGTTTGTTTATGAAGCTGTACTTCTTTATCATTTAGCAAGTTTACTTTGTGCTTAAACTATTCTGACTATTCTTTGTCAAGAAATAGTTGTTTTTGTTTTATTGACAGTACTGGGAATTGAACCCTGGGCCTGTGTGTGCTAGATCTGCCACCAAGCTACATCCTTGGTCCCAGGGAACAGTATCATTTTCAGTTGTGCCTTAATGGGAATACAAGAGAAGGCAGGCATACAATTGCAGTTCAGTAACTTACTATGCAGGCAAGAGTTTGCTGTCAAGTGAGTGAAAGGGAGAGATAAGGTGTGCTTGAATTAATGGTTTCCATACTTGAACAATTCTGAATGTACTGTGGTTATTTGTATTTTTTCCTTGCAATTTTCTTTTTTTTAATCATTAACTTTTTATTACACAGTAAAGAGGTAATTACAATGATATTTGTATCCTCTTGTTCTACATTTGTTTTTGAATGTCATTCACTTCAGCTTTAACTAACATAAACATTCAAAGAAAAGGACTGTTTTTTTTCACTCTAAGATGTTAACTCAAGAAAGAAGGACTTCTTTCAAATTTTCAATTATTCAGTTATAAGTCTGTTTCTCTAGTAAATAGTCATTGTTTTGGATTTATTATCATATGTGGAAATGGATTTCTTAAATTTAATTTAGTTTTTATTGTAAGGGTGACGAACAGGGGAGTTATAGTACATAAGTAAGGTACTGGGTTCGTTCGTTCCTTCCTTCCTTCCTTCCCCCTTCTTTCTCTCTTTCCTTCTCTCCTCTCTCCCTCCCTCCCTCCTTCTCTCTCTTTTTCTTTCTCTCTTTCTCTCTTTTTCTTTCTTTCTTTCTTTCTTTCTTTCTTTCTTTCTTTCTTTCTTTCTTTCTTTCTTTCTTTCTTTCTTTCTCTCATCATGGAGCTTGAACTCTGGGCCTGGGCGCTCTACCACTTGAGCCACAGGGCCACTTCCAGTTTTCTGGTAGTTAATTGGAGATGCGTCTAATGGACCTCCTGCCAGCGCTGGCTTTGAACTGCGATCCTCAGATCTCAGCCTCCTGAGTAGCTAGGATTACAGGCGTGAACCACCAGTGCCTGGCATAGTATATTTCTTTTTTTTTTTTTTTGGGTCCGGTTGTGGGGCCTGAACTCTGGGCCTGGGCGCTGTCCCTCAGCTCTTCAGCTCAAGGCTAGCGCTCTACCACTTGAGCCACAGCGCCACTTCCGGCTTTTTTCTTTTTGCTTATGTGGTGCTGAGGAATCGAACCCAGGGCCTCAGGCATGCAAGGCATGCGCTCTACCACTGAACCATCTTCCCAGCCCCAGTACATTTCTTTTTAAACACTGTAACCCCTCCCTCATTCTCTCCCACTTACCACTACTCCCCTCCCCCACATCTGCATGTTTCTTAAGTGAATTTTTTCTTTTAAAGTAATTGTTTCCAAGAGGGGAAAAAAATCATGGCATATCCTTGCCCAGAAAAAAGAAACTTTGTAGCTGGACACGGTGATACATGACTGTAATCCTAACACTGGGGAAGCTGAACCAGAAAAATACTAAGTTCAAGGTCAGCCTGAATTATGTAGTGAGACCTTGTCTTTAGAAGAAAAGGGGGAAAAAAATAAGACAAGCACAGCAGGGAAGAAGATGTCAGCCTTCTTCTGTTGGAAGCCTGGCTTTGCACACAGGCTTCAGTAGACCTTGCATGTACAGTGCCACTTGTTACTCAATGGGAGATGTCACAGAAGTCTTTTTTTTTTTTTTTGCTTGTCTTGGGACTTGAACTCAAGGCCTGGGCACTGTTCTTGAGCACCACTTCCAGCTTTTTCTGTTGATGTGGCACTGAGGAATTGGACCCAGGGCTCCATGCATGCTAGGCAAACTCTACACTAAGCCACATTCTCAGCCCTACAAGTTTACTTGACCTCCTGCACTGCTGGAATTCTTGTTCTTACCATTCTCTCTATTATTACCATGGCAAATTATCCTTTCTGAAATCCTCTTATATGTATGTATTTTTTTTTTTAAAAGGAAAAAGCTGGATGCTGGCTGCTCATACCTATAATCCTAGGTACTCTGGAAGCTAAGATTTGGGGATTGCAATTTGAAGCCAGCCAGGATGGAAACTTCAATGAGACTCTTTATCTCCAAAAAGCTAGTAGTGGAGATGTGGCTCAAATGGCAGAATACCCTTAGCAGAAAAAGCAAGCAAAGCCTTGCGCTGGTGGCTCACGCTGTCATCCTAGCTACTCAGGAGGCTGAGATCTGAGGATACGGGTTCAAGCCACCCCGGGCAGGAAACTCCATGAGACTCTTTTTTTTTTGGGGGGGGTCCGGTCGTAGGGCCTGAACTCTGAGCCTGGGCGCTGTCTCTCAGCTCTTCAGCTCAAGGCTAGTGCTCTAGCACTTGAGCCACAGTGCCACTTCCGGCCTTTCTCTTTTTGCGTATGTGGTGCTGAGGAATCGAACCCAGGGCCTCATGCAACCCAGGGCCTCATGCACGCAAGGCAAGCGCTCTACCACTGAGCCACCTTCCCAGCACCTCCATGAGACTCTTATCTCCAATAAACCACCAGAAAACTGGAAGTGGACCTGTAGCTCAAGTGGTAGAGCTCTTACCTTGAACTGAAGAGCTGAGGGACAGTGCCCAGGCCCAGAGTTCAGGCCCCACGACCAGACCCAAAAAAAACAAAACAAAAAAAGCAAATAATTTATTGCTTTACTAAAGTTCCATACTGTTTCACTTTGCCCATTTAAGTTTCCCCTTCATAAATGGAAGGTTTAACAGCTGTGGGATGTAAATACTTTCAAATAGGATTGAAACCAAGTGCATGTCCAGGCCAGGCAAAGAGCCACACTCCACATTCAGAGACACACCTGGGGAAGGAGGGGTGATACCAGCCTTCACAGAGTACCTGCTCTGCCTAAAAATTAGATAAGCCTCTGCCAAGCCTTGGCTGACAAAGCCAAATTTGCTATTTTAGGAGACTGAATTCAAGATTTTTATGGGAAAGTTCTGAATTTTTAAGCTTCATTATGTGAATTCTCACTTTCCTATCACTGAGGACCTAAAATCCCCAGCAGAGGCAAATGGGCCTGAAACATTAGCTGGGCTTGTGCATTTCTTCCTTCTCCAGGCTGCAGAGAAGATACAGACCTGTCTAGCACATGGACTTGACCAGTTACCTTTTAACTTAATTAAAATAATTAAAATGCAATTTCATCAGCTTAGGGGAGGGAGTTTAGTTCAATGGTAGAATGCCTGATACACACAGGGTTCAGTTTAAGGAAAAAAAAAAGGGGCTGGAAAGGTGGCTCAGTGGTAGAGCACTTTTCTTGCATGCATGAGGCCCTGGGTTCGATTCCTCAGCACCACATAAGCAAAAAAGAAAAAAGCCAGAAGTGGCGCTGTGGCTCAAGTGGTAGAGC